CCCCCGCCTCAACCTTCTTCCCTCCTCTCTGTGCCTGCCCTTGGCTGAACCTGCGCCCAGAACACCTGATGCCTGGCTCCCTAGACGTGGTCAGTTCCCTTCTCCTAGGTTCCCCTGCTCAGCCTGTACTCAGCCTTCTCCTAGGTTCCCCCTGTACTCAGCCTGTACTCCTCCACTATGTCCGTTCTCAGATGCATCTGTGTGCAGAGAGTGCTCTTTCTTAGGATCGAAGCAGGCAAACACTTGGTGATACTGATCATTCCCTTGTGTCCCAGCCCTCTGTGTTCTGGAAAGCCGGGCTCTGGTGCTTAGCCTGAAGAAATCCAGTGTCTTGGTTTAGCAGCTTTTGTAGTAATGCATCTCAAGCAAGTTTGATGCATAGTTGGACAGGTGAGTAAACATACTGTAATGAACCTGCCAGCTCATTGTGGGGCAGTTCTGCACCCAGCCAGCAAACAGCCCCTTAGTCTCCAAGATACGGCAGTGGAAAGTGCAAACTGAGGGCAGGAAGGCTGCCTGAGAGCAGGGGAGCAGCCTGGGAAGTGACTGGGATGGGAAAGCTGGGCAGCAGGTGACTTGCGGTTGGGACTGAGAGGCTGAGAGCTGAAGGAGAGACACTGCTTCTGGCATGGGCCAGTAATAGCCACAACAGGGGCACAGTGGGGCGGGATTACACAAGACCATTACCTGTGTACTACACTGCCCCTAGGGGCCTGGTTGGGGACTGCAGGCAGAAGCACAGTGAGGAGACTGTCACCTTTAAAACCCTGTACCATACTGCCCCTAGGGGCTGGGTTGGGAGCTGCCATTTAGATTTTTTTTGTTGTAATTGCTATACAGTTGTGCCCCAGGGCAGGGGTTCTCAGGAAAAAAAAATTTGGTGGCCTCAGAGTGCAGTCACCAACTCTTGCTGGTGGCTGCTCTCACACTTTTTCCTAAAACATGTAATTAGCTTTAGAAAAAACAAATAAATATGCACATATACACGTCCAAATAATTGTAATTAATTTATTGCTAGCTAGTAAGTCCGTTGTGAAAAGTGATATTAACAAACATACAAGTAGCACTTTTCACAGAAGACTTATTCAGCCCTGCCAAGCCTGGGGACTAATTAAGCCCTGGATGGGAGGCCAGGGGAGGCATGTGGGGCCAACAGGGAGGGAGAGGACTCCCTACTTTGGCCCCCCTCCCCCAGCCCAGGAGGCTGTGGCCTTAAGAAAGGTCCCTGGTGGTTGCATGCGGCCACAGTGGCCACATTTGAGAAATGCTGCCCTAGAGTATTTGCACCTTGTATTTCTGGCTCATCTAATAAAGGAATGTTATCTTCACAATGTGTGTTCAGGCCTGGGTTCTGGTAGAGCCTGGTGCTTGGAGCTTCTGCCATACTTGTCTCCAAGCTCCTGGTTCACCAGCATGCTATAGACATCAGAAGGGACTGGCATATAACCTCCTGCAATGGGTGATTATTATTATTATTATTTATTTGTATTACCATAGCACCTAAGAGCCCCAGGCATGGATCAGAGCCCCATTGTGCTAGGTGCTGTACAAAGCCAGAACAGAAAGACAGTCCCTGCCCCAGGGAGTTTATAATCTAGGTATAAGACAAGAGACAATAGTTCAGACAGACAGACGGGGGAGTACAAGTAAACAATGAAGCAGTATTGGTCAGCATGACAGGCAGCAGTCTCTGCACTACAACAGCCCCAGCATTCTCAAATGTTCCGTAGGCCTCATGGCAAAGGAGGGTTTTGGAGGAGGATAGGGAGGTGGCTTGGCGCTCCTCCCAAGTGTGAGGGGCAGCCTGACAGAAAGGTCTTATTTGAAAATGTACCAAAATGGTGATGGACGCCAGCATCATGGGCTAATCAGAGGCTTGAGAGCAAATGAGAGATGAGAGGTAGGGTGGGGAATGACCGTGAAGGGCCTTGGAAGTGAAGACAAGCAGCATATGTTTGATGCGATGGAGAAGAGGGAGCCAGTGGAGGAATTCAAGGAGAGGGGTGACACAGTCAAAGCAGTGGGCTAGGAAAATTATCTTTGCAGCTACATTCTGAATGGATCTGAGTGGGGCATGGTTGCATTTGCCTCTGCATGACTCTGGGGCACTTCCGTATTCATTATCATGCTGATTTTACTTTGGCCAGGTCGGATCCCATATGGAGCCAGGTACTGTCTGAAAGAATTGGCTTTGGGAAAGCAGGTTGTGTCGTTGCCTGAGCTGAGACATAGTACACACCTTTCGCAAGTGACTGCTGAACACAGCATGAAAGGGTTACATTGTGTTCTACTTTGGAGCCATCAGATCTAGGCTGCCGCTCCAGCTTCAATGAGTCCCTCCTGTGTCTCATCAGGCTTGCATCTAATACAGTCCTGTTGTCAAAATCAGACCAAGGGACTTGTACTAGCAGAATTCTTTGTTCAGAGTGGTTAGTCTTGGTGACGGAAGTAGAGCTGTCAACATTTTTTGACCAGAAATGAGCTGTGTTCTCCCCTCCACACCCCCCCCCCCAAAAAAAAAAGACGTAAAAGTTTTTCATTTAATGCAAAATGTTTGCCTTTAAATTTTTTTTTGGAGGGGATGGGTAAATTTTATTAAAAACAATTACTTCAAATATCAAAATAATTGTTGCAATGTTTTGTTTACCGAAAGTTTGCTAAACAAAAGAAGTTAACAACCATTTTGATGTTTTTTGAGAATATTTTCCAAAAAAAATTTAAATTGGAAAAAAATTCAGGAAAAATACTCTGGGTATTCTAAATGGTTCTATTTCAAACCTTTGGAAATGAAGGGAATTTCAAAACATTAAAATTTTTCATGTACGTTTCCATTTCTTCACACCCGTTTAATTGCTCAATATTTTGACTTTGAATCTACCTTTCTGATGCCAGGAGCACCAGTGACCCTTTGTGTAACATTTGTTAAGACTGAGAAAAATTCATGTGGATGTTTTTACCATTTGCTTAAGATTTTTGCAGTTCCAGACTGAGTGAATTTGTCTGCTTGGGGCTTTTTTACATCTAGTGAGCTAACCAAAAATGTGGTTTCTGGCCTGGTTGAAGCTTAAAAATTAGCCTGACCTAGCTAGGTTGCTCAGGGCTGTGAAAAATTACATACCCTGAGCACCGTAGTTAGAACCAACCCAATCGCTGGTGCAGATGTCAGCGGCAGAATTCTTTAGCAGCCATAGTGTAGATATGCCCTCTATCATGCTCCAGTAATAAGTCCTGAATGTGCCATGTGATCCGATTCCTGTTTGTGGCACCCAAATACTACCTTTCTGGATGCATAGGAGTGGCTCAGGTCACAATGAAAGGAATAGTTTTTCCTTTGGGGAGCAGCCCAGTTCCTTTGAAAATGTCTGCCTATTCTAAGAATACTGAGGGGTTAGCCCCAGCTGCAGCTACCCATTGTGATGTTCCCTTGGTGTTATCTGGACTGGTGATCTGCTAGGTCACTCCAATCCTTGACTCTGGGAGCCAGCCTTACCCTGCTGTGCTGTGAGAATCCCCACTCCCGGGCTGTTCATGCACAGCCTCTGGCATGTAAGCTGCTCCGAGTTCTGTGAGTGAGCACGTTTGGTCAGTTTAAGGAATAGCTCCACTGCCACTTGTGACGTGTTGGTCAGAGCGAGCAGCACACTGGCCAGCAGTTCAGGATCCATTCCTGCAGCCTAAAAGAGGCAGGGCGCGCAGTACACAAACTGTTGAAAGATGGCGCCAAATGCGGATGGAAGCACAGGGTTTGCTGGGATGTGAAGCAAGGCATCATGGGGCATTGGCACTGGACCCAGAATGCCCCACGACCCCCTCCACCTTCCCACAAGTCTTAGCGGCAGAAGAGAAAGAGGTGCTCTGTGGGATAGCTGCTCAGTGTGCACCGCTCCAAATAGCGCCGCAAGTGCTGCAAGTGTGAACATGCTGTTGCGCAGGCAGCTGGCAGTGTGAACACACAACAGCGGTTTTCTTTCTGCACTCTCTGAGCGACGCTGTAACTGCCAGCTCTGTAACTTTGCCAGTGTAGATGTGCCCAGAGAGCATGGCAAACATCTCTCCCTTTTATCATGTCCTTTCTTCCCTCTTGGCTTTGCCCCGCCCCCCCCCCCCCGCTTCAGAGTCAGGTGAGCATTACCTCATTGCAGTCCCAAACTGACCAAGGGAAGGGGGGTGACTCCCTCGAGAATCCAACAGATCCTTTGTTGCTGCCTAGGCCAGTGTCCTTTGTTCCTGTGAGGCTGGGCTGGGTTTGTCCCATATATGTCCTGATGAGGTGTGAACTGCCCCTCTGCTCTTAGAGAGTTTTGCCTGGGCTTGTCCTAAGCTATGAGGACACGTTTTCAGCCTGGTAACTATATACCTGAAATTACAACCTATAACATTACTATAACAACAATGCTCAGTGCATCATGAGCCTTCTGGAGACACCCGACTTGACGAACTTTGCATTGGATACCACACAATCATATTATAAGGATGAACATGGGGGTGCAGGCTGCTCCCCTGAGGTCCAGATTATCACACCCAAAGTTCCAGTTTTATCAACTGAAGTTCTAAACGGAATCCCAAGACTGAGCCCACAACTCAGATTCGAGTCTTCAGTTGATATTTTACATAGCCACAGCTACAGATCTAGGACACATGCCTTTCTTCTAACACCACTGTCCCCAAACCAGCCTTTATATTCACAAATTCTGTGACCCCCCCCCCCCCCCCGCCTATGGACGGGTATTGAGAGCTGTATGACTTTAAAGGGATGCTCTGTTTTACTTCCCCCTAAGAATGTAAAGCAGAAGAATAATGGGCCCAGGCCTACGCCCCTTGACCCACAGGAATATTCTTATCAGTCAGTGGGTTGCTCTCTGCTGTGTGGGTGTACAAGGAGATGCCTGGGGTTAACATGAGCTTTTCTTGTCTCCTTTTTGTCTGTGATCTTTAAAAGAAAGTGAAGGGCCTGACTGTGAACTTCTACACCTAATCCCTTGTTCCTTCTTCTCTTGCAGTTGGGAAGACATCCCTGATCACAAGGTTTATGTATGACAGTTTTGACAATACATATCAGGTGAGACCCTTTTTCCATTTCTGGATCTGGAGTGACAGTAACCCCAATGCACCGCCTACTCCCTGTCAATCCCCAGTCATGTTCTGTGCACAGCGTCAGACCCACTTTGGAGCAGAAATAAGCTCTCTTTCTTCAGAGGTGGGAAATGGACATGTGAACACGGCCCACTTATGACTCCTCATATAGCCCGGCACTGAGATCTAGACTATAGCGCTGTTTATTTTCAATGGCGCCTACATATTTGCATCCAATTTTTTGTGCATGAATGAAATCAGCAGGGTCTGCTGGGGAACGCTTCTGCCTAGCAACCCAAAATGGGTGTAGTGGTGTGAGCACATGCACTTGTGTTGCAAACTGGCTACCAACGGGCTTTCCAGTGGTGAATGACGTGCATGCACTTCCGCTACTCTTTACATTCCCCATTCTCCGCAGTAGCTGGCATTGGCGCATTTTGCAACCATCATGACATAGTCAGTCTATACGTTTTGTGGAGTTCTCTAATTTATGCAGATAGTGTCTATAATTTCACAGGGATTGTTTTGAGTTCTAGGTGTGTAATGAGAAGTAAACTGTGTGATCGCCTCAGACTTTCCAAGTTCTACACTGATGCTGTTGCCAAAATGCAGGGGGCATGATTCTCTTCTTGCTTTGGTGTAAATTAGGAGTAACTCCACTGAAGTCAGTGTAAAGCTGAGGAGAATCAGGACTAAGTTCTTCATATCCTAACTCTGCTTTTACACTAGAGTCTTCCTGAATTAGCTTGGGACCCCAAAGACAGATTGGGTTTCTCTTTCCTTTCATTGTGCATTCAGGCAAAGGGATTTCTCAGCCTTTATTTCCTTTTCTTGTGTGTTGAACAACATCCCCCTGGGGCCAGTGAACAACATGTAATTCAATCTAGACTTCCCCTTTCACTGGCATCTCCACCTTTCCTGGGTTTGTTTCTCTCAGGAGGGATTTGCCCTTGGGGCAAGCAGTCGACCCAAGCTATATGAAATGTAGTTTAGCTGCAAGAGAATGGTATCGATCACAACATGTGTCTGCTAGCAGCTTCCATTGCAGAGGAGCCAAAATGTGACCTTTCAAGCAATGCATGGCCTGAAAGCCCCATCTGCATGTGAACCCCATCAGAGGCATTTTCCTGTCTGTAGGTCTCCTCCTTCTCTGAGTATGCAGGTGTGAGCTGCCCTGATTGTGCACTTCGCCAAGGTATCTTGGCCCTGAAATGGAGGGTTCACCTTTGTTAGGGAGGAGTGACTGTGCCATTGATGGTGATGAAACCGTGGACAGCTCTCACGAGGGGCCAGACTCTGGTGCCCCTCTCGTGGTGACCGGTACTGTGCTCCATGGGTTCTCCGCGGAAGTCAATGGGACTGCTCAGCATGCATGTAACTCACTGGGTCAGTGTGCATCACACGTCCCCCTCTGTGCCTGATCCACAGAGCGAGCCTCTCTGTTGCCGCCCCAGGGAGAGAGCCCTGCTCCTTTGCATATGCAGGAGAGACTCAGGTCCTTGTGGTGGGGTCTCCCTGCTTTGCTAGGTTGGTCTGACCTCTGACACCCTCTGAGGAGGCAGGAAGTTGCCCAGCGATTGCTCCAAAACCCAGCTCTCTCCCAGCGCCCTGACTGGACAGGACCTCAGTGTCATTGCAAAGAACAGTCAGTGGGAGCAGATGTACCTCACTCAGTTACAAATGGCCTCGGCAGACCAGGTACAGCGGCTCCTGCCCTTTGGCTGTAGCTGGTTGGTATGTCTGGGGAAGGCTCGCAGGAGCCACATGCTCCAGCTGCTCTTTGGCTTGCCGCTGAAGTATCTGTGTTGTCCTATCTCAAGTGGCATCCATCAGCCCCATTTGCAGAAGAGCTGGCAGCAGGGACAAGATTTCCTGCTAGCCCTCCAGCCAGCTCGTGCTCAGAGGTCAGCTGCCTGTCTATCCCCAGCCAGGTTTCCAGAGGTAGGGCCTGCCTTCACAGCACAGCTGCTGATATGTGGAGTGGGAGTGTCACCCATTTTGCTCAGAGGGTCCCTGGTTTGATCCCCAGTGTGTCAGCTGCAGTGATGGTTATTGCACAAGGAGAGCAGATGCTGGCCCCACACGACTAGCATGGCCTAACCCAAAGGGAGTCAGTCAGGGCAGAGAAGCAATCATCCCAGGAACAGCTGGAGAGCCCTTAAGGAGCAGGACATAGGTGTTAGATGTCGCAGAGCCACCCAAGAGGTGGGGAAGCCCTGCAGCTGGACTGAAGGAACTGTCTGGGAGAACCAGAGCAATCCAGGTAGCACAGTGCAACTGGAAAGCTGCCTGGAGTCCAGAGCAGCTGGGGGTTCCCTTGGGGTCATGGAATCCCCCAGTGGTGCTCCACCCATCATTGGTCCTGTAGTTAATCTGTGCTATGCCAGGGGCCAGTCTGGTCCCCACCCTACCCCAGGATCAAGGGAGCGGAAAGATGGCTTGGAACTGCACTGAAGGTGGGTCCAGCCCCTCTGAGGATTCTGTCCTCTGTGTTCTCTCAGTTGCTGGTTGGTCCACTGTGAACCACGCTGGGTTAAGATCTGTACATAAAATAACAGCCACCCAATGCCAAGTGACAGGATCCTGTACCGAGCCCAGTTTCCCTGTGCTAATGAAGAGAACAGACATTTCCTAAATGGCATTTATTGACCTGGGGCTCTGAGGGGCAAGAACTGCTGTATCTATGGGACTGTGTTTGGGAGCAGGATTGCTGAGTGTCTGGAGAAGTCTCTCTGTGCAGACGAGAAGGGAGGATGCTGAAACAAAGAAACCAGAGGAGAGGTGTGACAGACCCCTGGGTACAACCTGGAACTGTGGGACCGCTATGCTGCCTTTACTCTCTAGCCTGGGCTGTCTCTTACAGTGCTATGCCAGTGACAAGCAGCAGACCCTTCCAGGTGCTGTTATCACTCATCCAACAACATGCAGAGACACACCAAGCTAAATTGCATGAATGCTCTCTAAGCCACTCATGAATTATACACAGGGAAACACCAGCAAATCCCCCCAGCCTTGCACCCCAGGAATGTACCAATTTTATACTGCTCAAGACCTTCTCTTGAACAATGCAAGCTCACTAATTAGTTTGCTACTTCATTAGAGGATAGTGTACATGCACCAGCCTTTGTAACCTAAGTAGATCCCCCCAAGCACTTAGGACAAACTCACTGGTTCAGATTAAAATACGTTTATTAACTACAGAAAGATAGATTTTAAGTGATTATAAGAGGTAGGGATAAAGGTCAGAGAATGTTACATAAGAAATAGAAAGTAAACACGCATTCTAAATTTTAAACTTTGTCATACCAAGCAAGAGTTGAATCAAGCAGTTTTTCTCACCCCACTAAGCATTGTAAGCAGTTCACAGATTTTAATACACAGGCAGAATTCTCTGCTTAGCCTGGGACCAATCTCCCCAGTTCAGTGTCTTTTTCTTCCAAAATTTCATGTTGCCTTCAGAATAGGTGGGGGAGGAGAGAATCTCATGGTGCCACTGTCCTTTATTTCATACCCTCAGTTCATGTGCCTGGAAAAATACTGGCTCAAACATGGAGTCAAGCATCACATGTCCCGAGGCCTTCCTGAGTCACAGAGTTAAGCAAGTGCCATTGTGTGTAGCTGGAGCAAGTGCTTTTATTGAATTGTATCTCTCTTGTTTACAATTCCCCTGCTGGTCAATGGCTGGTCACTGGGTGTGGGTCACCTCGTTTGAGACTCACAACCTATTTCAAATAACAACCATATACCAAAATCTCGTAACTCTATATCCAATAATGATATACATATTTGTAGAGAACAATGAGTTTCATCAGATCATGACCTTACAAGGCATTTTTTGTACAAAATATCAGAACCATATATAAGTGGTGAGTGAATGTGGGAGTTACAGGGCACTGTCTTGAGGTACAGTGCATCACAGGACGTCACTGTCCATATTTGCTGAGTCCCCACTTCCCTCCCTTCTTTGCTGATTGTTCTTAATCCCTGACCTGGAGGGCACCCCTTCACCTCCTCAGATTAGAAGGGGTTCCCAGTGGGGCCAAGACCCAGTATGCTCACAACATGTAGTTTGAAAGAGGTTATGCCTTTTAATTGAGAGAAAAAGGACCAGTGACATTTGGCAGCCATTTCCTCAGTGATGTTGGGATCCCAGGGCCACCTGATCTAATCAGTGTTGCAATTGATTGAGGTGAACAAACAGCTCTTTCACCTTTTACAAGCAATTAAATAATACATCAAAAGAGAGGCATAGTCTGCACAGGCTGTATTAATTTGTGTATTAAAGGCTCCCTCACGTCCATTATGGCCACGCTGGATTCTGCAAACACAAGCAATAGCTCTGCTCGGTAAATATTTGATTGCTGCTGTCCCGAGTTAAATAGTTTGATGACTTCTACTTCTCTTCTGACTGTCCCAATTAGGGAGAGAAGTACAGTCAGTTTCACACTGCAAAGCACTGTGGGTAAAGGAAGGATAACAGTTACCAAGGCACGCAGCACTTCCAAAATGCCCTTGCCTGCTCCAAGATGGCTGCCGATGGTAATGTTTGCTGGTCAGCCATTCCCACCAGTTCCACGGCAATTCACCACATTGCCAGTGGCGGCAAGTGCCAGTGATGGGCCCAAGCATTTGATTTATATCCAAGTGGCTGCAAGTTTAACAATAGGCAGGATCGTTCCTAAAAGTGATCCATCCCGGCAGCAGTGAGAGGGGTGAGGACAACAGCTTCCCCCCGGCTGGTTCCCTTTTGATGTTTACATCCAGAGTAAACTGCTGATCTGAAGCCTGTCTCATGCCAACCCAGGCCTTTATGGGCCTTTGTAATCCCAAGGCCTGCAGCCACTATTGCATGCAGGAGCCCCACACCTCCCCACAAGCACTAAATCCAAGCACAAGGTGGGTTGATATCTGATTTTCTGGGAAAGGCCTTTGTCCCCCTTTCTCAACCTCAGCAGACAAGTGAGCTCTAAACACCCCCCACACTCG